AAGTTTGATCCTCCCTCAATAAGACATATTTTCAAGTCATTGGAAGAGGTTTCAACTCTAGCTTGAAAAGTCATGACACTAGACTCAATAGACTTCGTTCCATTGGGTAATAACTCTTCAAATTTTGGAACTCATGTTCCAACAGTGGACATATCTACAATAAACAATATTTATAGACTCTAACAATGCACGCGACTCTTTTTTAATACAAGCTTTTTCGAATAGACTCTGAGTTAAGGACTCAATGCAATTTACTTCTTGCAAATATTCCTCCTCCCTGGTTTTTTTTAGCAATATCAAACAAATTTAATTCCAATGTTATGTTACCAAATGAAAGTTTCATGATTTCATTCCTATAATTAATCAATGCATTTGATGTAGCAAGGAACGGACGTCCCAAAATTACAGGAATTTGTGTAGAGATATGCAAAACTAGCTGAGTATCCAAAACAATAAAATCCACAGGAAAAATAAAACTTATCAACTTAAACAAGCACATCCTCAACAACTTCTCATGGAATTTTTACAAATTGGTCAGCCAACTGTAATGTGACTTTTATGGTTTTAACTCTCCCAACCCTAACTGCTCATGGACTATATACAAGAGTAAATTGATACTGGCTTCAAGATAAAGCAAAACTTGCTCAATTCCGAAGTTTTCAATTATACATGAAACTGTGGGACTCCGTAGATCCTTGTACTTCAAAATTTTGGCATATGATAAGACTTGCTTGATTGCATCCAACAGGGATGTTCATCTTTACTTGCTTAAACAATTTAAAAATTTTAGCATGATTGTTCAGTGGTTTAGGTTTCTTAACTCGTTGAGGAAAAGGTAAAGGAACAGAATTTGATTTGTCTTTTTTGTCAGGCAATTCTGTTTCTTTTTGAACAATTGATTCAGATTCAACTGTTTCATTAACAAGAATTGACTCAACTACTAACTCAAGAGTTTTGGCTTTGATGATCTTTTCAATCACTTTACCATTTGTCAATGTAGTAATTGCTTGGACTTGGCTTGGAGATGGGTCAGAAGATATGACATTAGCTTGGGTTTAACCTTGTGGAGGTTTAACAAGCACATTATTAACATGGACATACCTATTGCTTGTCAGTGATGAAGGTCCATTGGTGTTGGTTCTGATAATTGATGCCTAAGTCTGTGCATAGTGTTGCTAAGAACCATGCCCATGATTCTTTCATCTCGATCTCAACAACACATTATGCAATAGGAAACATAGAATCATTGGCATCAATATCAATTGCTGTCAACAACTGTCCACTGTATGCTCCTTTCAAGTGGCAACCATCTAGTCCAACTACTTTCCTGCACCTTTCCAAAAATCTACTCTTACATGCTGCAAGACAGATATATAACCTATGAAATCTAAGTTAACCTATTTCCTCATCTACAGGAGCATCCAAAACAATTGTGGAACCAGGAGTAACCCTCCTTAGTTCCTCAAAATAATCCCATAGTCTACCATATTGTTCAATGTCATCCCCATGTATCAATAGCATTGCCCTTTTCTTTGCTCTATATAATTGATTTCTTGTTAGATCTACATATAAATCTTGCCTAACCCTTTTTTTTAAAAGCCTTTATAGGCCAACAGTGTTGATTCTTAGCTCCTCCAGATACTTCAATGCAATCATCTTTGAGTTCACATTGCTATTAGTGTAAGTCTTCCCACATACGTGCTTGCTAATGTATGTCTTTATTTAGTATGTTTTCTCACTATGCACTCTAGAATCATAAACAAGCCAACTGCAGCCCTCTTGACAATTTTTACCAACTATGCATGTTGTCTAGTAGCAACCTTGATCTCCTCAGATGTACTGAATAACGTACCTAGCTTAAATTGTGGGTCTTCCTGATCTTTGTTTGTCCAAAATACTACAAATTTTGGTTTTTTTCTTGCATCAGTCTCTCCATCAGATGAACTACAACAACTTACAATATCCTAAGAATCACCATCTAAGTCACTCAGATCTAAGCAATGCCTTATGTCTTCTGTTGTTGTTTTTTGCTTGTTACTCTTCAAACCAGTCCATTCAGCTTCATGATCAACACAATTCTCATACAACATGTCATCATACTCATTTTCGTAATCACTGTCAACCAATTCTTCATATTCACTACATTTAGATTCAGGTTGGTACTCATCTGAGTCTGATGCTACCCTATTCCCTATTGTCATCAATTGGGGCATCGCCATCATCAGGATGATTACTTTTGCCTTTAGATGATCCAACCTGACCTGACTCTCCCTAATTTAATACCTCCTATATGTTTAAAATATACTTGAGCTATCCTGTTTTTATGCAAATGATGTGACATATCTAATAACTGTTCATCACTACTCATATGTACTAGTCCTTTGTGCAAATCCAAACCAGAAAATTTGTAATAAATCCAATATATGGACTATAGCCAAGACTATTAGCTATATCATCCATTTCAATGAGTGACATAAGTTTACAATTACAGTCATCTATGTAGTCTATTTTGCCCCCAACATTAGCTTTATTTGGATTCTCTATAAATTCATCACTATGGTGAACCTTCATTGAGAAAAGTGAAGACTCATGCCCTACAACATGATTTTGTTGACACATATGTAAGAAAAAATATAAAAATTGCCAAATGGTTTCCAATAACAAGAAAATACAAAATTCATATTATAAAATTCAATGACACAAATTATAAAATAAAATATATAAAATTCATATTGCAAAAACAAGTGGTTTCCAGCAACCACATAAACTATAAAATATTGTAAAAAAAAAAAAATGTTTTGCATAAACAAATCTATTTGACAACATCGAAACCTTTTATATTCAGTTGTACCCATGAAGCTGAAACCCAAACGTATAAAAATTAGTACATACTGTAATAGGGAACATTGTATGATCCAGCTTGAATCCCTTTCTTCTTCATAATGAAATGGATCATCTTTATACTATGATTCACAGTCAACCAAGATGAAGACAAAGTTAATCACTCTTATATTTTGCCCTGAGCAACAGTTTTTACCATTGTTGTCGTTGCAATGAAAATGAAAAGTCTGAGAATCACGGTCCTTAAATGGCTAAGTAGGGTGTAATGTCCAATTTTCCTCTCACGTGGATGGCACATGGGGATGGAGACAAAAAAAAATAAGACAGTGTCTATAGTTGATATCAAAATAAATTAAAGTGAATATTTTGGGGATCAATGTGATTCGATTGGAATGTTAGAGACTAAAATGAGATACAAATAATCCAAAAACATTTTAAAACTTATCTAACTGCGCTTCAAGTTTAACCGCCCTTCAAAAATAAATTTGCCATGAAAGTGCTCAAAACTCTTTATAGTCAATTTTTCAAGGACATATGTTTTAGTCTAGAGTTGAATTCGATATTTGAATAATAATGTAGATATCATTCCAGTCTCACCTTCTTTAAAATGGTAATTGACGTTACTTTGAAGCGGCGGTTAGCATTTTAAACGAAGGGAGGTCAGAATCACAATGGACAAGCAGGTCGAAAGGAACAAGAAGAAGAAGGACAAGGGAGGCATAAAAAGGAAAAGGAATAAGTACGAGTCTCGATATACAAGTTCCACCAGGCTTCAAGTACACCCCAATTCCCAAACCCTCTTCGCTTTGATGTTAGCTTCAATTTCAAACAGCTACTTGCACAATATACCTGATTCTGAACCCATCTTAATCCAGTGCTTGAAGCAACTTCGTCTCTCTCTGCTTTTCACTGCCCCCAAACCCAATACCCACGAGACCCTCTTCGTCCCCATCCTCTCGTTGCTTCCAGTTCTTCTAAAATCCAGGTAATTATTACCCTCTGTCTGGCAACTATCCCAGTATTTTGATTTAGGACGGTTCTTTGGACCACTCTTTTGGTGGGTATTGAAAAAAATAGAAAGAATCTCGGGTAGGCGAACTCGTTGTGATTTTCCTAAATTATATGTCAAGCTAATATTTTCAAGTCGGCGCCCCTAGATTCATTAGAGTGTGCGTGGGCGTGTGTGTGCCTGCGCGTGTTGGACGTCATAAATTTTGGTGTACTAAACTTAAGAATACATTTCGAGATCGGATGAAGAAATAATAAAAGAGAGTGTGTGAATGTGTGTGTAGTGAAAATTATATGAATGAGACTAAGATGTTGGGAATTTGATGACAGTTGTGCTGAGATTGCATGTAGAAGTGCAGAGATTGTGGGGGCAGCATCGCTGTATTCATATGGGATGAATGCACAAATTGCTTTGGATGGCGAAATTGTGATGGGTTTGATCTCTACATTGGGAAATTCTAAGAGGAGTGTATCAATGGCTGCCTGTAATGCTGTTCTGGATCTTTCCACAACGTCCTTCGGAAGACAACGGCTGCTGGAATTCTCCGCTGTTGAGAATCTCATGTATGTGTTCTTTAATCTATTGAACCCTACTTTTCCATTATTCTTTTGGTTTGTCTCTGTATAATAGTGTATATGTATCAGTGTTTGTGACCATTCAAAATTTCTTCTCCTGTTGATTGAAATGCAGTATTAATTCCACATGAAATTGATTGGTCACACATTCTTTCTTCAATATCCTGTATAGCATTGAAGCTTGTCTGCCAGTGCTTTGTCCATTGAATAAGTCATTGCAAATGTCATTCAAAATGAGTCATGAACACGCACGAGACAACATTCAAATAGTTGCCTCAGCAATGACTTCGAAAGCTTTCACACAGTTTGGCCTTTGCTGGTCACTGGTTATAGCACAAACTTGGGCTTATTTGTACAAAATGGGTGCCGTGATATTTTATCTAAAGTTTCACAGTTGTTTGTCTGGCATTGTCCACTGCACTAGGCACTAGTTCATCGGCATTGAATTTATTACTCATTTTGTTTTTTAGGGTATTAAGACCATTACGTGCTATAATCAACCTTTTTGGGATTTCGAATTCTCGATAACTCAATTAGGGTTTAGTGCAAAGATTTAGTCTCATTTCTTTGAATTGCTCTCCATTGCTAAGTTCATAGCGGTTGTGGTAACTTTATCGATGTTACCTACCGAATTGAATGTCTATTCAGGAAGATGATCTAATTCGCTGAAATTGACTCTCTAATTGTTTATGCAAATCAACATATTTCACTATAGAACCATTATATATGTTCCTTTATAGATTTGAATGGACCTGCTAACATTTGCTGGCCAAATGCTTGACAAATATTACGATATAAAATGTGATAGAATTTTACAAGACTAATTTGTGCACACGTGCGTTGCATGTGAACTATTTTGTGTTATACTTATTGTTTATGCACGCATGTTAAATATCACAAATTTAACTAACTAAAGTCAAAGGAACATTTGGACATACAAAATTACTTTTTCGTCAACATAAATTTTTTGACTATCACTATTTGTTGCACCCAAAATTGTTTCTAAACCACTTAAGGATTAACACGGTTAGTGGTCATGAATAAAGAATTATAACTGTGACATTGTATGTTAAGGTGCTAGCATATGAGCCGTAATGGGCAACAAGCATTTAAAATTTTATTTTTTAGTATAATAGTTTATGTTTGAGAAGGCTACTGGTTTTGTTTTAAAAGCCAGAAATAGTTCTTTTTATATTCTAATTCTAAGAAAATGTTCTTTAACAACATGAAAAATTGCTGTGTTTTGAATTCCATTCATAGTGATAAAAGACACATATGTATACTTCCTATGAAGATGAATTACTTTACTTGACCCTTGGCATCTTCTAGAATTCTTAAAGCAATTTAAACAATATTCAACTTACATTTTTCTCTGTTTTCATATTCTTTTTTTCCTAGACCACCAACAATCTTGCGTTTTACTTGATCAATTATAGTTGACAAACCTTGTAGGATCAATTATATCCATATTGGTTTTTATTCAAGAACCAAAAAACATGGAGAACTTCTATATTGTTATGATTAACAAAAACAAGATGTAAAATTATGCATCAATGGACCCACTTAATTTATGGCTATTGTCAACAATGTGATCAAATTATATTATATTGCCCTTTTTGGCTTTTGATGATTTTTTAAGCTCTAGATTTAGGTAAGTGAACAGCCCGCAATCTATGTGACATAAATCCCATGGATGTTAAAAGTAATAAAATAACTATTTTGACATAGTAAATTAACATAATATGCTAACGTAATAATACTTCAGTTGACATGTTCATGCTAAAAAAGTAATACGACTAAATCATGACATCCAATACATTGTGCCTTAATATGCAATGCCAATTTATCGTTATTCTAAAACGTAGTGGACTTTAGAGCATTTCTTTGTAGTATTCCTCTGTTACATCTCAGGCTTGTTATACAGGAACATGGCAGCCATTTCAAGGGTCAGCTGGAATCCCCCGTGGCCTTTGAGTACCTGCACTTGGATGTCACTGGACAAAATCAATTTATGGTTTTGAGCAAAGAAAAAAAGGAATTTGAAAAATTGATGCTGAATAGCATATAATGATTGAGGAACACTCTTCAAACTTATAACAGTAAAAATTGTTAGCCACCTCATTATTTTAGCATATAGATGAGCATATGACCTATACATTATCCATGAGTCTCTATCATGGAGAAGAATAAAGAACTAAATTGTAATTCAGAATGATCCTTAAAATAAACAATATAGGCTGTGTGTGTCTGTGTATGTGAATGAAAGAAAAGAAAACTTACATGATCATAGTCCATCTTCTTTGTCACTTTCCAAGGACTAACGATTTTCTCCTTGCAACTGAATAAAAAACCTTCCTGCTATGCATTTGAGAGATAACCATGGGAAAAATGTGAACTTTGTTGTTAAAATAGTGTGTGCAAGCAAAAGAGGAGAGAGTGGTGACAACATATTAAACCAACTGTAGTTGAGACTAAGCTACAAAGAGAGGAATTGCAAGATCAAAAGCTTAAAAAATTATGCATGATAATTATAGTCTCCTATAAGTAAAATCAAAATTGAAACTTCTATCACTTGAGTCGATTATATGGAACTAACCTTTAAACTTGGAGCAATATCGCTTAAGCTTTGATTGTATACTTGATTCTAAATAGGGTAAGTGTTTGGTTGTTTTTAATCGGTTGCTAATTGAGAGGAGAGAGAGGAAGAGAGAAGAGAGAGAGAGAGAGAGAGAGAGAGAGAGAGAGAGAATTATTGTAATGGCAGGAGAGTGGAGGATTTTCAAGTTTAATATGTCATTAATTTAAAAAGATAAGAAGGTAATACTTTTATTGTAGGAATGTATAGTTGGAGAAAAATTGTTTTTCAAATATGTTGATATTTTGAAGTGGTAAGATAAGATAAAGGGAAGAATTAAACAGTTTGGATAAAAAGCTATTGAAAAAATACATAAGACTTTGTATTTAATCTTTATTTAAAGTTGAAGTGAAGAAACTACTCATAAATTGGGCATTGAGAAGGAAAATATAGTCATGTTGAAACTGTGGATATAGGTAAATAGAAATTTAGGAATAAATCTAAATACTTTTGAGTTTCTTATATTCTGGAAAGTCTGATCAAATACCTGTTAACCATATGCGTAAATTGCATTTCCTTGTTAAGGGTGTGAGAGGTGCTGAGCTTAATCATCGGAATGCATCCGCCAATAAATTTTAGGTATGAACCCCCGAGACGGGATATCTTATGTGACGTTGGATGCAAATATAAAAGTGAAAGGCAGTTTCCCTATTTCACTTATTCAATCATGAGAATGCTAAAGAAAAAAAAAAGGAAAAATAAAATAAAACTTGAATTTGAAAAGACATTTCAATAGCAAAAAGTAAGATCTAAGACCAAGATCCTCAAAAAAAAAGAAAAGAAAAGATTAAAATTGAAGCCTATGTTGGATATCTTGAGCTTTCAAATTATGGATCCCCCCCAAAAAAAACTCCATCAAGAAAGAAAGTAAATAAAGGCTCTACATAAACCTGAGGATGAGATTTATGTAAAATTAGGATCATTATAAGTTAGCACGTAAACTTGTTGGTGACATTCATTCAATTGTTTAATTATTCAATGAGTGAATTTTCAAGTTCCACCAACCCATTTTAAAATCTTAAGTAGATGAATAAGAATCTTGAGAATTTCATTCATTTTTGTATCATTATAGACAATCGCATCGATATTATCTACGGAATCCGAACTCTATTTACGATTTTTATTCAGAAGGTCTTATATTCAATGAGGGAGAATACAAGTTGAATAAATCCTCTTTGCAGTTTGTATACAAATAACATTTATCAAAATCAGTCTTGATGTTTCCCTTTCATCTCTTTTCTTTTTCCTCTTTTTTTTGCTTTGTTTTTCCTTTTGGGGCCACTCTCGGCTTTGTTTCATCTCATTTTCCTCTTCTCTCATTGTAAAATATTGCTCCTTGAAGCAAGCTTTGTGTGAGTGTGTGAGAAAGAGGAGGGGTGGGGGAGGGGAGAGAGAGACAAAGATCTAGTGAGAGTTTCGAGATGTTAGTTTAATGTTATTTTGTTTGTCCACACTTTGATTACAACATAATTTTGTAGGTTTTCCTCATTTTTCCTTTTTGGGGTTAACTAAAAATTTCTAGTTAAGCTGCACTTTTGTTACGATGGACTGATGGTACCCTTGTTTATGTAATGTAGGAATAACTTTCCATTGATCAATTTCTTACATGTTATCTATGTTAGTGTGAATATTTCTTGTGTTCTAGACTTCTAATTAGTTTATTTTCTGTATTCAGAAATATTAAGAATAAGTTTCACATTATTATTTTAGTTATATGTTTGGGTTTTTTACCTGTTTGTCAATGCTTGGGGGGTTGGGGTGGGGTGGGGGGTTTATTTTTTTAATAGTGGACAGAAGACTATTATCGATAACAAAAGTATAAGGAGCCACTAGTGATTTGGTCATTCTCGATTCTGCTTTTCTGGAAAGTTATTGATTTTTCTTTGTTCAATTGAAATACAAGTGAAAGATTTCAAAGCTTTTTTGCGTAAGAATGCATAGTTAATAGCTATGGACAATAATACGTATAGGAAATTTTTAGTGTTTTATTGTGAATTATGCTTTGCAAAGATGGTATCTAGTTCAAGCGGACTTAAGGCTTGGTGTAGTCTGCTGGTGCACAAAAAGAAGTGCATCTTGGAAAAACTTTTAATGTGGCTTATTGGCATTTCCTCATCTTGAATATGTGTTTCAGGAGTGCAATTTAAATTCTTGCAATCCAGTAAGTTGTTAGATGGAAACTAACAGTGAGCTCAAGTGCAGATTTATGCCGGGCTTGATTGGCCCGCATGGAGCTGAGGGGTCGTCAGCACTAATCCCTTGCCCAGGCCGCTCCATAGAAAGGGGTTCCCCCCATTGTTGTAAAGCGCCGGTTCAGTTTTGACCAAAACACTGCAGAAATCCCATCCAAATGCAACAAAATTGGATGGGTAGTCTAGATTACTCCCAGTCGAGCCTCACCAAGAGGAATCCATCGAAAAACAAGCAACAAATTGGGCTGAAATTGGAGATCTCACCTCGACAACTTAAACCCAAAAAAACTTCAAAAATTGAAAAAACTAGTCAAACGGCTTCAAAAAAATTTGCAAAATAACCAATATTCCCAAAAGTTTCAATCGAATCTGTCTATAATTTTTCCGAAATTTTTTGACATGTTTGATGTTGACGTTAGCCTGGCAGAAAACATTGTTGACTGCACAATGGGGAATTTCGACTATAGATTTTGATCAAGGCTCTAATATCAAGTTAGATTATGAAGTTGTTAGGGTTTGTAACAAGAGAGAAGAATAAGAGAGGAAGAAGAGAAGATTATGTGAAGAGAATAGTGTGTGAGGGTTGCACAACTACATTCCATATATATATAATCATCAAATGCCAAACATACTCTAATGGGTTACATCCTAATATAACATAACATAACATGTTTTGTTATTCTACTTACCTATGTCGCTTTCCTAATATATTCTACTTTCCTAATATTTTAATTGTCTTCAATGTCAATCTAGTATAGAGCTTTTTATCAGTCTACGGAACACAAAAAAAAAAAAAATAAAATAAAAAAAAAAAAATTGTGCATCTTGAAAATGTCAGTGGAATTGACGTTTTTCCCCCATTGTCTACTTGCATGTTTGGGTTGGGTTTTGCTGAAGCAAACAAATTTCATAGTATGAATTGTCCATTTTCCCCTCCTCTTCCCTTCATGGTTAAGCAAAGCAATTGTGCAATGTCTCCTTCAACACCCAAAAAATACCCATCCAAACTTCTAAAGAGGGAAAAAAAAAAGGCAGCTGCACCAAGACCACCATAAATTAAAAAATCGAAACCCATTCACAGTTGCCACTGTGCACGCCTTAATCATAACCTCTAAATTAAACCCAGATCCACCATCTTGGCACCCACAGTCACCTACAATGCACCCTTCTTCGATTGCCTGAAAGAGTGTGGCGGTGGGTCAAAGGTGGATACATCGATTCCGAGGTGGTGTACCGAGGTCAGGGGGTGAAGAGATGATTATGAATGCGAATTTACTCATTGGCTATGTGTGCGCAAATAGTAATGAAAGAGAGAGGAGGGACGATTGGGGGGGGGAGGGGGAGAGAGAGACACAATGGTGGTGGACGGTGTGCTTTGAATAAATGAAGGCAGATGCCTTTTTATTAAAAAAAGGAAAACAGATGAAGCCCAATAGATGGAATTTAAAAATGTTTGAACAGATAACTAATATTTTTATTTTGAAGACGTCAAATGGACTGTCGTTTTTAAGTTAAAAACTTATTTTTGGACTAATATTTTTATTTTAAAGACATCAATTGGAGTGACGTTTTTAAAAACTGTTTGAGTTAGAAAAATAGTTTCAAAACTAACCCATTTTGAGAATTATTTTTTCAAAGCACATGGATTTGGTAAAAAGCTCTCCGGTATAAATAGGCGATAGGTTGAAGGCAATTCAAATTTTACACACAATATGGTTTCCTAATCTCTTTTTTTTTTACCCTAATATTCAATTATTTAAGATTCAACATGATATTAGAGTTGGATATTTGGGTGAGTGGGGGCTCTAGGCGAGCGCCTCACTCACCTGGTGGTTGGGTCGGTCAACACATATCAAAGATGTCATCATCTCTATGTCCGCTAGTTGTTGTTGTCTATGTTTTTGGCCAGTCTTAGTGTTGGTTTAGTGTTTTTAGCTCGATTTAGTGTTTGTTTAGACGGTTTAAGCCCAATTTGGTGTTGGTTTACTCATTTTCATCTCGGTTGAGTGTCGATTCAGTATTTTTAGCTTGATTTAGAGTCGTTTCAATGGAATGTTCAAGGTTGTAATATCAACCATCAACTCGGAGAACGAGACATCGGTGGAGGTTTTACAGGATAGTATTGGGCGATATGACCTAACAGAAGAAATTGGATATGACGAGAAATGCATGTCATATCGTGGCACAATGGAACGGTATCAGCCAATTCGTTGATGATAATTCAGTGACTCGGGGTTGACTTGAAAGTCTCATACGACTCGGCCATATTGTGAGACTCAAAGTTTTTATTTAATGTGAAGCGAAATGACTCAGCCGACTCATATTGGAGTTTTCATCCTGGTTCAGTACTAGTTTTATGTTTTTTAGCATTGGTTCAACCCCTTTTTGGCCGATTTAACTTCTATTCTGCTTTGTTTTACCCTATTTTCGATTGTTGTGGTCTAATTTGTTATTGTCTATGGTTTGTTATAGTATTATTGGTTGTGTTCGTTTGTGCCGGTATTGTTGTCGTTCAGTTCATGCCTTAGATTCACATGGAGCAACGAAGTGGGTTTGTTAGGAAAAGTGTCATTGTATTGTGTGTCGATTAAATAAGTCCTTGGATAGTCCAAAGCAGTCATGTAGAACTATGCTTAATATTTACATGGAGATATTGCAACCTTGTTTGTAAAGTCTGGTGATCAACTCTGTAATATTCTTATCAAATCATTGGTGCGGTCCACCTTTAGTAGCATTTGTTCAAAATTGGATATTTTTGATTTCTATGCTCTTGAGAGGGAGTGTTAGATTGTTACTTTGCTATTGGTCTACTTTTCTATTATCAAGGTCGCTTTTCTATTTTGTTCTACTTTTCTAGTATGTTCTACTTCCTTAATATTGTAATTGTCTTCATATCAATCTAATATAAATTGGTGAAAGGGTGTAGGCAGCAAAAATTCTACACAAGATGGTTTCATAATCTTTTTCTTTCTCTCTTCCTCTTCCTCCTCTTCTTCTTCTCTTTCTTTCTCTAAACCCTAATATTCGATTGTTCAAGTGTCAACAAAAAAAGAACGAGCAATTTCTATTTACATTTTTTTCCCGGATAAAATGGAAACGTTACAAAATGATACCCATTTTTTGTGTTTTCAAAAATGATTTCACTAAAAAAAAAACATAATACTAAACGCTTTGTTGTTTCTAGTTTTCACAAAAACTTTTAAAAAAATAGAAAAACTGAAAAGGAAACTGTTGCCAAACAGGACCTAGTATTTATCGCTATATTTCTGCTTCTTGGGACACATTTTTCTTAATAAGGAGAGATTTGAGATTGAAGATGAACTAGCTTCATAAATTTAGTCTGACTTGATCCAAAAGATGTTCCAAATGTGTGGCTATCGTATCGTATGAGGAAAAAGAAGGATTTCCGCCTCCTATTTATCTATTTATTTATTTGGTTTTTCTTATTTTTGATGCTTCTCTCATTTGGTTTGTTTGATGTTTCAGAATTTCCCTTTTATGTGTTAACTGTCCTCATTTTCTTCTAGTTTTTGTTTCATTCAGGTCCCTAAATCTTCAGCAGCATCGGTTTCTCTATTCATTGAGGAAAAGGGCACTGAAGCCTTTCCCAGAATAGGGTTGAAAGAAGATGAGTTTCTGGTATTGCTTCTTCATGCTGCAGTTACTCTTATTAACAGCTGCACGATTGAACAGCTGGAGAAGATCCCAAGGAAGCTCTCTGAAAGTTTACTGCTTTATTTTAAAAAGCTATGGGCAGATGCACATAAACAGATGTTATGTGGGAACATTCTGAAATTTAACCAGGGGAGACATTCTTATGTAACCAATATCAGAACAAATACTCTAGCAGAAAACATTTTCAGGCTCTCCATAAATGCTGGGCAATTCACAAGACCTTCCAACTTCAAGAAAGTCGAGAGAAGCATTTTCAGTTCAAGTGGGACTACTTTTGAAGATTTTGTGTTGAACCATTGGGAGGTATCTCCTTTGCTTATGAGGAGGCCTTCAAAAGCTTTGACTAAAGAAGATGATATTTTCAGTTCGTTTCTACAACATCTTAGCTCTGAAGGAGTTCTTTCTTTTATTCATTCAATCCTCCAAAATCTTACTTCTTGTCCAGCAATAGCTTCGGATGAGCTAAATGTCCTTAGTTTTCTGAAGGAGGTGGAAAATCATCTAGGATGTCCCATAATTTACCAACAGGACATTCGGGTCCTAAAAACAGAGCATTCAGAAAGAGAGATGCATTACTTTCAGGAGTGTTTAGGGTCTAGTTGCTCCCAGGCTCCTCATTTTCTCTATATGGACAATGTTTTGAGATGTAAAGAAGCATACAAAGAGGGATACACAATTACACTGCGTGGCATGGAGTTTCGCTTTGAAAGTATTGCTGCTATTGCGGATGGGTTAGCATCTCTGTTTGGTCAACCATCGGCAGGTGTGAATATGTACCTGACACCACCTGATTCTCAAGGTTTGGCTCGTCACTATGATGATCACTGTGTGCTTGTATGTCAACTTCTTGGAGTCAAAAAATGGAAAGTTTTTCCTCAGTATAGTCTCCATTTACCTCGCTTGTATGAACCTGTTGATAGCTGGCATGATATGAAGGTTGGAACTCCAATAATGGATGGGACCAAACAGTTTTTGCTTAGTGAAGGCGATATTTTATATATTCCTAGAGGTTTCCATCATGAGGCATGTACTGTCATCGATAATGACTGGCCCAATGGAATTGCTGGGTGCTCCTTACATCTGACTCTTGCTATTGAGGTTGAGCCTCCATTTGAGTAAGTTCTTAAATGCTTTAGTTTTCACTTGGTTCAGATTGAAGATGAATTAGATGTCTTTATGCTTGTCCAAGGCTAGGTTTGTATCCAGTCTACCCTTCATCACACTTTATTTATGTGGAACTTATATTTGGCTTGATTGTGCCTCTTGTGTTTCATAGCACGTTGTGCATGTGGACCTTATATTTGGGTTGTTGGTCCCTCTTTTGTGATAACTTGATATTGTTAACTCGATATGGGCATCAGAATTAATGGAAGTGTTGCGGTAGAAATTTTAGAACGCCACCGAAAATCTCACCCATGTTTAATAAGTGTAGTGCAAATAAGGCCCCAATTATACAAGTGACCACCTTGTGATGAACATGACTCTCAAATGTGAGGTTAATATTTTCTCAATATAGGTCTTAACGTACTTCCCTAGAAGGAAGGAACTCTCCCCCAGCTACTATTACTATTACTTATAATAACAATGAGAATACAAATAGATACATTAACACCAAGATATCTTTAGTTATTGAGATATAGAGCTTGCTCCCAATTGACTTGACTTAAGTTCTAATTTCCTAATCCAGGATCACTGATTACCGTAGTCCCCTATATATTTTGATCACTACTGCTTCCTTTGATTGATAGGATTCTGAGCCTTTTGTTCCCTGGACGGTCTATCATGGAGCCTTTTGTGCCCTGGAAACAGTGACTTGGAAGGTCCATCATGTATCACATGGGACGGTCTACATGATTGTGAATTCATTTTATTGTACATGTGGATCTGTAAAATGGTAGAAAATTGCAAATGTTGGTAAGAAAGGGAAAGTTATTGTCCTGTGCCAGCACAAACATTTTGTTTGGTGATACAGTATATGCCATTCCGTAGAAGGCTAATGCAGTCCTAGGGTTAGAATGGATGTAGGAGAACTATTTAAAAACTAAGCTAAATCAAAGGCTTAAGGCTGATAGTAGACTAAAGAACCTTGATCATTGGCTTTTCAGGATTCCTTTTACTGAATGAATAATTCTGCTTCCACTCTTATCCTCTATGGGTAATTGTGCATCCATTTTTGTATTTATCAATTTTTTAATTGTCTTTCCTTTTCTTTTTCAATTTTATCTGGTGCTATTCATTGTTCTAGTTTTCATATTCATGACAGTTTCACAAATAAGGAAATGCTAAGAGGAAATGCATTCTCCTTTTTTAACTACTATGTGTTTTTATTTCTATTTCCTTAGGGTAGGCACTGCATTTCCCTTATTATCTTCTCAATAAATGAGGTAGAGTATCTTCTAAATGATTGGAGAGCTTGTACTCTAGAACCAAAAAAACTTAACAATGCATGTGAACTGGCCCATGTTCGTTACAATAATATATAATATGGACAAAGGGTATCAGACCCAAACACAAGGTTTTGGCCCCATTGTGTCCTGGAATAGCTTACTTTTGGATATGTCTCGAGAATAACATATGATGATAGTAAATCATATCTTACACCACTCACCAATGGGCTTTTGGTCCAATGGTACTCCTTACCTTATGAAGGTTCTGTCTTTTTGAGATTAAGGGTTCAAGTCCCCCTCCTCTCTCTCTCTCTCCCCCTCCCAAAAAAAAAAAAAAGAAAAAGTATCAAATAAAATAGATGCTTTCAATCAAGAAGAAACATAAGGTGAAAATAAGAGTCAGTTAGTCAAATGGTTGCAAGAAAATATTGAAAAATGTATATAAAAAGGCTTAAAACAAGGTAATCATATATCCTGTGGGTTTGAAATTCCATTTATGTAAAATATCTGCTGTCTACCCTCCTGAATGAAGCGGTTTTTTCTATTAAATTCCTTGGAACATCCCCACACATTTATTTTGGAAGCCAATAATCCTAGCTGACCTTGAATTTGTAACATTGATTGGCTAACAAAAACTGAACCCTGATGTGTTAGAAGACATTTAATGCACCTTAGTATCAATCATATGTGTTGCAGGTGGGAAGGATTCACTCATGTTGCACTTCATCTTTGGAATCAGAAACAGAATCTATCTCAGCACACTCATGGTGATTCTTTGTTTTGGAAGTTGAAAGTTATGTCTGTGAACCTATTGCATGTTGCAATTAAGCTACTTGGTGACGTCGATCCTACATTTCGGAAAGCTTGCTTGGTAGGTGCGGTTTCATCATCCGTTACAGGAGGTTGGCTGGATAGGAACCAGAGAATGATTTTCGGACATTTGATCAATAGAATTAATTTCAAGTCAAGGTTCTCAGATGTGCTTAGGCATGTAGAAGCGGCTGTTCAGAGACATGAAGATCTGTTCCAACAATTTAGGTGGCTTCAGCATCTCAATGAAGGAGAAATGGTTGAAGGACACGACTCGAGTATTCCTTTTGCTGGTATTGAAAACTATTATCATCTAGGTAGTCAGCATAAGGACAAGGCAGAAGCAGCTTTCATGGAGGTTAAATCTAAGTTCTGTAGTGAGGTAGTTTTTGAGGATGTAGAACATGGGTATAAGATGCTACTTGAGAAGTATAAGAAGGTGAGAAGGCAATACACCAGTGGGATGCTTTCACTGCACTGTAATTGAGAATAAACCTAAAAGTCTGGCAATGCTAGACCTTTAGCTTCCCAGGGTCTTTTTTTTTTTTTTTCAGTTATGATCTTGATCTCACATTGCTCCATTTTGCTATTTGAGTTTCTCATATTATCTATTCAACTGCATGAATCGTTTTCACAATTTCCTAGAGCTAAATGCTCATTATATTTATTATATTTCGGGTATGCCCATGAGTTCTGCAGAATGGAAGTTTCCATAATCATCTTGTGAAGACCATGATTATTGAGGGGGAAAGTAAAATTAATAATCATAGGATGTTCAATCTGAAAAACATAATAGTTGAGAGAGTAATGTGAGACAAACACATAATTGAAGCGGTCAATGTATGATTTGCCCATCTTTTTATCTAAAGTTTTCTGGGTCGGGGATGGCTTGGCAGACGTCCATAACAAAGGCATCAGCAAAAATCCAAATAGCTGTCTGTCCACAACAAATGGCTGACATTTTTAGAGCCTTGTTCCTCTGTGGAGCTTCGACAGACTGTAAGTTAGATCTGTAGGAATCTTTTGTATTGATTCAACTATGATAGTCGGGTGGTTTCTGGGCATTTTTTTTTGTCTCTTCCCTTTTTTTAACCATAAAAACTGAAATAAAGTGACCTTAACTTTAATACCATAACTTATTTAATTAATATTGTATAATTTTTTTTCCATTTTTTTTAAATTAAACATTGTATGATTTTTGTAAAATTAGAGTTTTTTTACCAAGTTTTGGTATGTAAGTGGAGTGAAGTTTTAGTTGATGAGGGACTTACTGTTGGCGGGAGTTAGAAGAGAAAGGGGTTCTAGGCGGTGTTTTTAGTTCACGGATTATGCTGGTTTATTCAAAATGTGACACAATTGATAAATAAGATAGACTAGTACATCTGACATGAGTAATTATATTGATCAAATTAATTAGAATCAATTAGTATTCAATATGAACTCAAAATTGAGCCATTGTAAAGAAAATCAATCCAAATCTATATGAATTGAAAACTACTTATTTTATTAAGCGAGTCATTGTAATATTTCTATAAATTACTGAGCAGTAATACAGGAGATGTGTACATAATCATTCCACCATGTAATTAAATAATACTTTTAAAGGTGGGACTATGGTCTGGGATGTTTGGGAGTCGGGGTTGGATGGGTTGTCACCCCATGATAATCTATGTGGTACAGAAGCTCATCTGCGACGCCGTTTCTGCTTGCACGTTTCATTTCCGTGGAAGTTGAATCGGATCTGTCTTGGTTTGTGGTTCTCTTCATCTCTCCATCAATCTGCACCATGAAACATGATTTCTGAGTCCTCAAGTTAGATTTTTTTTTTAAAATTTTTTGGAGGGGGGGAGGAAGGGAAAGAGGACTTTAACCTTGACCTTAAGACAAAATCTTCCCAGTATCATTGGACCAAAAATTCATTGGTGTAAGTTAAATTAAAA